TTATGACAAGAGCAGAGTACTCATCGTCTATGCCTAGTTCCTGTTCGTCTGCAGTGATTATGAAATCGGCTGTGATGTGCTCAGCAAACTTTCGAGCATCAACTTGTCTGGATCCCCCCCGCGAGCGAGAGGGAGACTTGGTCATCTTGGCGCATTTGCACACTTCGCAGAATGGATTCTTTGGCTGGTGTGTCATCAGGTGCTTCCGTGATGCTGCTTCCTGCCTTAGGGCACTTTCTGCAAGTGATCTAGGGCTCTTCTTATCGGGATTGCCAACAACATCTTCCCCTGCCAAATCTTTACTCTCTATCGGCTTAGCATGTTCATTTGGTTTGACTTCGATGGGGTCATCCGCCAGAAGTTCAGCGACAACTCTAGCATGCGCCTCAGGGTCTTCTAGAGGGGCAATGCTAGGCGTGTACTCCTCTCCCGCTGCATCTTCAGCTTGCTCGGAGGAGGAGTATGACGATTCACTCGATGCGCTGCTTCTGCCGACCTGACCTTCCACTCGGCTTGGCGGCGTGCCTTTGGCGGGACATGCCATGGCTGAGTCGCCATCCCACACGTCGTAGTACGGGACATAATCTCGAACTTTGAGATATATTCTCGTCCCATCAGGCTTGACAAAGAATGGCTTGTCCTTCGCGTACCATATGAAGTCATAACCCTGATTAATGCACTCCAAACCTACAGAGAGAACAGATGGTGTTTGTGGCAACAAGTATGGATTCGTGTTCCCAAAATCACCTGCGGCCATGTTGGCCTGCTTTGACGAATCACTTGGTCCATTGGCAGTCATCAACATAACGGGGTCATTTGAATTATAAATTGCATATTCGGGGCAATTCGCACGGGTAAAAAGGTCTGTTCCACTCCCAGTGTCGATAATCCATGAACAGTTCGGAGAGAATCTCTTGCTCGCCAGCGCGGGCTTTGCGCCCATGTCTCTCGGGGCGCAGTGGTTGCATCCGATATCGCTGTAACATTCGTATTTGCATCTAGTTGGATGGCCTTCCAATTCACGTCTCACAATGAAGGCGAGCATGGTTGCTCCGAGCCTAGCATCATCTATGCTGATTTCATCATGGAAAAACTGATGGTCGATTGGGTAGACCTTTGAATACACGCGCGGTTTGTCCGCGACCTTAAAGTGCTCACCATGTGCTGGTATCCGATTCATTTCAACCTTCGAGCTGAAACGCACGCTCGGGAGGGCAGGCACATGCTTCCAGTCCGACATGAGGTTCCCCTCAGCGATAGGGGCGTTCATCATGGAAGACAACAAGCATCCCAACACGCAAACAGCAGCAGGAGAAGGCTTTCCGGAAGACTTTCCCTTGTGACCCGTCTTCTTATCTCCCTTGGAATCACGGGAAGTGGATCGAGGTCGATTTGAAATCTATCCTTGCTCGATTTGCGATCCTTCCATCCTTTCCTGCTTCCCTGTGTTCATGGATGGCTCCTTGATCCTGAACGGCTGGTTGTCGATGGCTGCCCGGTGTTTTCAATACGGTCACCCTCCTTGCAGAAACGGTACTCTTTCCTCTCTCTTTGGCTATTCATTGCCTTTATCTCATCTCTCTTAGGCTTAAAGGTCTTTGATGGGGTCCTGTCTCTGGCGTCGCTTCGGGATGGCTGTTCATGCTGTATTTGCAATTGTCTCACGATACCTACTCCATACTTGATGTGCAATGTTCCCAGGCACACGCAATTTCAGCGTGGTGCGTTGGCTCATCTCTCGTTTCTGTTTCCAGCAACCCGTTCTCGGTTGCGCTCGAGCCTTGCTCGAGACAGGTATTGCCTCACAGATTCAATCACGTAGGTGTATGAGTGATCGGCGGACTCTTCCGAGGCGCTCAAATAGACATTCAAATGGTGTTGCATTTGCTTACTTTTCTTCAGCTGGTTGTAGAACAGAGCCTCAAGCATGGAGTCATCCGGTGTCTTGGCATTCATCCCTGCAAGGACACCCTCCCAGCTACGCATGAAGGAAGTGAGGTTATCGTTCACGAGCCTCACGTTGAGGAGATCCTCCATGGCATAGGTGGCTCCGCGCTTGATGTTCGTGCTCAGGCGCTCGCCATGAGAAGCACTTGTCTCCCACGAACTGGATTCCTCTTCTGCGCCTCTACCTCCTTGAAGGTGTCGACTTGTCTCGCCAGGTCACCCTGAATGATGTTGGTGAGGGCGGACAGCAACTTGGCGTCCAAGGTGAGGAAAGTACCTGGTTCTTTGAGCTCCTCGATTGTAACGGCAGGCTCCCACACTCTGCTGATCCACATGAAAGCGTCATCGGGGCGATCGGATGCCGCACATACGGCTTCCCGCACCTTGATGCGCCAATTCCTGTAACTCTCAGGAAGTGGGAAGGAGGGAATGATGATCCTCTCCGCCTCCTTGACCTTGGGTTTGTCATTGTCTGCGTCCACAGTGGTCGTCTGCTTACCCAAGATCTTGTTGAGCTTCTTGCGGATCG